TTTAATTTGAAAATCTTGATGTATGACTTTAGGTTGGTTTGAAACTAAAAATAAACATCACCACTCGACTCAGCGTGGCCGATTACCCCTATCTTCACCCATTTTAGGATCACTCAAGGTCAACTGGCCGAAACCGGGGCTCTCGAGAAAATGTTTATAGCTTCTGAATCGTAAGGGATAGAGAGTTAAGATTGTAAACGGTAACAGTTATGACACTCCCAATTCATTATCCGAGCATTTGTAAAACATTATTTTACTACGCTAATAATGCCATCTCTTCGATTTTTAGATTGTATATTGAAACTATGTAAACTGATTTTAATTTTTCAATAATCCCATACTTCAATCAAATCTATTTTACAATGGACAATAAGGTATAATACACTTCTTGTGCGTATTTCAGCGCATGCCTAATGGATGAATTGTTTTATATTTAAATGTTATTGAAGGGGATGGTTCAAGATGACGTTGATGGCTCAGTTCAAAATGGTGATGCTATCATTGGTATTAATGAAGATGAGCAATCAGTTGATGCTATTAAAAAGAATAATATTCGCCAAGATTCTACCATCGATTTATTTGCTAATATTGATAAGTCAAAATTAGACAATGATGTTCATTTAATATCGTTAGATGAATTATATGAACGTTTTCATACAGATCCAATCCAAGGTTTAACAAGTGAACAAGTCGAACATGCACAACAACAATATGGTAAAAATAAAATTACAGCGCCACCAAAACCGGGCTATGTCATGTTATTTATTAAACAAGCATTTGCCGGTTTTAATTTGATTCTATGGGTGGGTGGAATACTGGCCTTTTTAGCATGGAAACCGTGAGTATCACACAGTCTAAATAGATATATAGGTTAATCTATTTTCTGTTTTAGCATTGGAGAACCAAATCCAAATATTGCCAATTTGGCTCTGGGTGTCGTATTATGTCTCGTTATATTAAACAAATTCAATATTGAATGTCTATCAAGAAATAAAATCAATTAAAATAGTTGCTTCATTTTCAAAATTATTACCGACATTGGCTACAGTAAGACGAAATGGGGATGAACAACAAATTGTTGCTGATCAATTAGTACCAGGTGATATTGTTCTCATTCGACTTGGTGATAAAATACCCGCCGACTGTCGGTTATTATTATGTGATGGTCTGAAAGTGAATAATTCCGATTTAACGGGTGAATCGAAACCAGTTAGTTGTACAGTGCAATGTACCGATGTTAATTTCATGGAATCAACAAATATTCTTTATTATTCATCGATGATTGTTCAAGGGACGGGTGAAGCGTGCGTCATTTCTATAGGCGATAAAACAGTTTTAGGAAAAATGAATGCATTGACAAGAGATAGTGGACATGATGAAATTACTGGACTACACCGTGAAGTCAATCGTTTTGTATTATTTGTTTGTGCTTCAACATGCGTAGCCATTATTATATTATGGATAACATGGGGATCGTGGTTAAATAAAGATCATAAAGGCTTTCTATCCGTATCAGATAATATTATCAATAGTATTGGAATGATTGTTGGATTTTTACCTGTAGGATTACCGTCAGCTGTCACACTTGGTAAGTTGATTACTACTATTGATTCTAAAATATAATGAACTCGGATGTTTTTCGAATAACTTTTGAAGGAAATGTGATAGAAACGTTCGGTTTTCAGTGCTCTGAAGTAAAACGTGGGAATTATTGGCTACGATTCCATTGTCAGAATCGCATCTGCCTGTCATCATTCTCCGGGTTCTCGAACATTCCTATACATGATAGCTGAACAAATATGAGGTTATCAGAAAATAAATTCAAGATGGTTTTCTTATTCTGATAAATGTAATTGATAGCTCAAAGTATCCTCTACAAACCTGAACAAATCCTATATTACTAGTTACCGTAGTGCGAGAGATACAGTCTTATTGAATGTACCGCCCTCCCTTAGTCCGATTAGCTCCGATAACCTTAGAAGTATCTCGAATCATAGGTTTTCGATCACACTCTATCATATGATGGGGTTTGTATTCAGAATAAAATTCAAAAACCTAGTGAAAACCTAAATAGTTCGTTTTTGGCCATTTTTACTGAAAATTAAACAATTCATAGCTCAGTCAAAATCGCCTGAAACTACTTCAGAATTTCAATATATACTCCATTTTGTTTACCGTACACTCTCGACTTCAACAAAAGGTTTAGGCTTTCAAGAAATACTTCTAAGTTTATCAGAGCTAATCGGACTAAGGGAGGGCGGTTCATGCAATATGACTATATCTCTCGAACCACGGTAACTAGTGATATAAGACTTGTGTAGGTTTGTAGAGGACACTTTGAGCTACCAATTACATTTATTAGAATCAAAAAATCATCTTGGATTTATTTTCTGATAACCCCATATTTTTTCAGCCGTCATATACATCATCCATATATCAGTCGATAATCCCCACTTTTTACTTCAGAATACTGAAAACCGAACGTTTCTATTATTTTTCCTTCAAAAGTTATTCGAAAAACATCCGAGTTTATTGTATTTAGGAGTCGATCCTAGACATCATTTTTCCAGTTATTATTACTCTTTAGTGTTGACAATCGTCGCAAAACGAATGTATAATCAGCGAGTTCTTGTTAAAAGTTTACAAATTGTTGAAACGTTCAATGCTGTTTCCGTGATTGCCACAGATAAGACAGGAACATTAACACAGAATAAAATGACTGTCTCTGAAATATTGTGGGATACACAGAATGTTTACAAAGTACCAGTACCTGAATATATACCGGCCCAAGATGAAACGATCATTGATACAGTTCGTCGTTTATCAGTTGGTGCGTACAATACAGCTCGTCGTTTATCAATGGGTGCGGCCAGTGTGGTTAAACGTCTGTCATCTGGCAATTTGACTCAAGTCACACAACACGAAACAAATCCAGATATTGCATTGCCAAGTCTTGCCAGCGAAGTGAATGTGCAAGCATTTCGAGATTTACTATTAGGAGCAGCTTTGTGTAATAATGCCGAAAAACAATTTGTACAAGAAGCTGAATTAGGTTAAAATACTTATTTATAATTATTTGGATGTATTAAATTTTTTCTCGCTTTCTATTCTAGGTGGAGACATAGGAAACATGAAATCAGAATTAAAATTAGTAGGTGATGCTGCTGATACGGCACTATACAATTTGTGTGTTGATCGCTGTTTCATTGATGTGGATAAAGTGCGAAAGGTAAATCCAAGATTAAAAGCATTACCATTTAATTCGGCAAATAAATTTATGATTACCGGAAATCTATTAGAATCTCTCGAATTGCCACCGTCAGAAGATGATGGACGAGATGTGTTAATTACACTTAAAGGTGCACCCGATATGGTCTTAAACCGTTGTTCAACATACAAAACAAATGATAATATTGTACTTAATTTATCACAAGACATCAAACAGCGATTAGTGGAAAGACAAGAGGAATTAGGCAAGCTACACTTCAGTATCCAAACTGCTAGATTGTGTTTAAGTTTCTCTTTTGTTAAAAGGTAAAAATGGCTATCGTGTAATTGCCATGTGTCAACAAAAAATGAAAAAGAAAGGATATGATTACCTGATGTCACAATATAAACAGCAAGAAAAAGAGCGTAAAGAAGATCAAGAAGATTTGAGCGGTTTTCCATCGGGTGAATATTCTTTCATTGGCCTCTTCTCGTTACTTGATCCACCGGTGAGTCATGTGTGTCTTTTAGCTGGCTGCGATTGTATATTAATCGTTTCTCTTTGTTCTAGCGCCCTGAAGTACCCGATGCTGTTCTGAAAGCCCGCCGAGCTCAAATTCGTGTAGCCATGGTTACAGGTATGCTCTTTTACCTATTTACTTCGTTGTATGTTGCAATTTACCTAGAAATTTTCCAAAAATAGGTGATCATCCAACAACGGCACAGTCAATCGCTAAACAAGTTCACATTTTGACAACCGAAATTGCTGATATCAACGGTATCGACACATTCAAAAGAAGCGAAAAAGATGGCAAATTTTTACTGAATTTGTATCGAAATGGTCAATTGACAGGAACACATGTGCCGGGTGAGGTTAAAAAATTAGATATAAAAGAGTCGAACACGGCAAAAACAACGTCAGAACAAATCGATGACAAACCTAAACCAAATATCTGGCGACGTGCATGGTCCCGAATTAAATTACAGTTTTCTGATCCACAATCAGAGGTTAATCGTGACAAACAAGAATTAATACCGTATGCAATTGTTGTTACGGGTAGTGAAATACAACTCATGGACGATTATATGTGGGATTGGGTGTTATCGCATCAGGAACTTGTATTTGCTCGAACATCACCAGAGCAAAAATTAAAAATTGTTATGGAATTTCAACGACGTGGTGAAGTTGTCGCGGTTACCGGCGATGGAACAAACGATGCACCCGCGTTAAAACGAGCCGATCTCGGAGTAGCTATGCAAGCTGGCACGGACGTTTCTAAAGAAGCTGGTGATATGATCTTGTTAGACAATAATTTTGCCTCAATCATTAAAGCTATTGAAACCGGCCGATTATTGAGCGATAATCTAAAAAAGGTGGCCGTCTATTTATTACCAGGAGGTTAGTAACCAATGAAAATCTTAAGTTATACCTATCGCATGACTTTCTTTCTTTCTTTAGGTTCTTGGTCTCAGATTTGGCCTGTATTTTTCAATCTTTGGTTTGGAATGCCTCTTGCATTAACCGCCTTTTTAGCAACAGTATTCTGTATGCTGAATGGTATGTATACACCACTCCTTTTCAATTATATCATCTTCAACCTTTATTTTCTTTATATAGACGTTTTTATGTCGTTAGTAATGGTAACTGAAAAACCGGAAAAAGACATTATGTCACGTCCACCAGCTAATCGAAATAAGGATCATCTATTAAATATGAAACTACTGTTTCATGCATACGCAGTTATTGGCAATATTGAATGTTTTACAGGTTTCTTTTGTTTCTTCTATTATTACATTGATAATGGCATTCCACTTAATCATATTTTACTTCAATTTGAAAACTTTACCGCAACAAATTCTCATTTTATCCCAGATGAACTTAATACGATTGTTTATACGGGCCAATGTGTTTATTATTGTTCCGTGTGTTTATTGCAATTTTTTAATTTTTTTACATCACGTACACGATATACGTCATTTTTCTCTCATAATCCATTCTATGGTAAGGGACAAAATTTATATGTCATCGTTGGAATAGGAGTCTCAGTGGGTATACAAGTGATTGTCACACAAATTGCATGGTTTAATAAAGTTTTTCAAACGGCACCGGTACCCGTGAAATATGTATTGCCAACATTGGGTTTTGGAACTGCTTGGTTTATTATTGATGAACTGAGAAAATTGTATATCAGAAAATATCCCTTATCATTTCTAGCAAAAATAGCTTGGTAACAATGATACATTTTATAACACGTTATTAGACAATATATAAATTGTTTCTTTCTGTGTATAAAACAGTTGGTCTGCAGATATATGTGCTAGTTCACATTTTGGTACTTCCCCCCCCTCTCCCCCAAAATAAAAGGTCATGGGTTTCTAAAATGACCCGATAAAGAATCGAAGCTGTTTGACTGGCCTTCTAATGCTGGAGACCTTCTGGTTTCTCGTAGTCAGAGGCCTTCTATTATGTCTCGTGAAACATTGATCTGAGGATAACCTTCTAAAATGCGTGACCTTCTACTATCGGAAAATAAATAGTGGTAATGGTTATTTTTAAATAGCTCGAGAACCAAAGGCAATAGAGACCTGCGATTTTCAGATTCTGAAGGGCACTCTGGGACGTAAACCTATCAGGGCGCCCGATTAGGTTTACGATGGTGTACTGTTCGAGGCCGAAATTCGAAAGCTTACCGTCAGAGGCTTATCCACAGACTGTCAGTCAAGTCGAAAAAATTACATAGGGTTTTCATTTTATGCATACGATTTTTCAGCGGATTTCTGTTAAGGTGTTAAAGGTTAATTTGAGTCGTTTTGGAAGAGAAATGCGTGAAATATACGGTCTTGAAATCTTGACGATAACAGGCGAAAAATCGGATTTTCGCCAAGTTGTGGTTGAGTGGGGGATGAAACAAATATAGCCACGATGATCAACGTGATCGATTACCTATGATCCACATGTTTCTGAGATTCCCAGGCGTGTCTGAAATGAGATAGATGTATCCTCAGAAGACGTTTGTATCTCCGTAAGCAAATGAGGTGGAGACCTGAGCCTGCGTAGTTTTGAAGACAAACGTTCTGGCCATGGATTGGTATTATTTGAGATTGGATTTCAAAGTGTGGTTTGGGAATGGTAAGCTTTCGGATTTTGCCTCGAATGGTACACCATCGTAAACCTGATCGGGAACCCTGATATATTCGCCTTTCGTTCACGAGTTATTTAAAAAATAATCATTACCACTATTCCTTTTTCCGGCAGTAATATAGGGTGAGGTCATCTGTTTTGGACGGGAGTTTAGTATGCAGATGTTTTAACAGATTTGTCTCAGAAAAGTAGGTATTCAACTGTTTTAAAGTCATTTTTTTTATAAATCGCCTCTCTCTATATAGACTTAATAATTAGCACTAATTAATTTCAAAGTTGAAAGGAAACTAACTGAATATAGTTCGAAAATTTTGAAAGAATGTGATCTTCTAAACAAATTGGAAAGTGGTAAAAATCTTAGAAATCGAGTACTCGACAGCATCAGGGATAAAATGGTGTATGAGATATCTCTTCATAAATAAAAAGTGTAATGTTCAAAGTAGTTTTCTCGCATATTTAGAACAAGCTAAAAATTCCGGGAGCCGGACACTTGCTCACTGAAGAAATTCTATGTGAATTTTGAGTTAAAAAATGCAGAATAAATTGTGGAAATTAATTTGACAACAAGTCATCATAATATTTTAACACAATAAATATCGGTGTTCTGTACGACTGAAAAACTGAAGCACAATAGTCAACAAAAAACAAGAAACAGAAAGATCACCAACCGTTTTAATGAATACATTGTTCAAATCTGTATGTAATCGTCCATGGCAGGCAGGCATATCTTTTTACATGTTCACACTTCCAGAATATGTTTTCGTTGTTTCTGCGATCAATAATATATGTCAAGCCGTCGTGCATCAGCAGTGGTTTTATCAGTTCAAGGTTTTAGAGAGAGTAATTGACATGATTGTTTTTGTACTGAACTGTACTGGGAGTGGCACGCTTTTATAGGGATATAGCGTTTACACTAACTCATCATTAAATAACAATCATTAATTTGGGATATAGTGTTTGAGTGCAAGTAATCAAATTAATTTCCACAATTTATTCTGCATTTTTTAACTCAAAATTCACAAAAGAATCTCTTCAGCGATCAAGTGTCCTAGCGAGCAAGTGTCCTGGACCCAAAAATTCCTGTTTTCACACTGAGAAGACCTTCACCTACGGATTTGCGGAAAGGGACAGAAAAGATACGTTTGTGATCGCACAGTTAACTGAAAAGCCAAGCAGGTACGCGTCATCTTATGGTTAAGTTGAAACTTGAAATTGACCTCTGGAAACGACATCGATGTGAGTCTGATTATTCATTTTTTTACTTGCTTATATGCGCGTAAAGAGATCAAGTGTCTTAATAACCGATTTTCCATATCAGCAAAATCCTAAGCTCGAACTCCGCCCAAGAATAGTAAAATACCCTTCATTATAAGTATTCATAACTTTTCATTCTAAACATGAATTCGAGGTTAGGTGGTTTTTCGCTTCGATTACCAGAAAAAACAACAACAAGAAAAATCATTTGAGAAAGTGAAAACCATGAACTGTTGCAGTACGGTTTGACCAGCTAATGGTCATCTCCGAAGCGGTAAGTTAGCTATAGTTATTAGTTCCACAAACTACCTGCATTTTGATTTTCTGTTTCGTTTTTCTAGCTTTGAATGTAGCATTTTGCGAAGAGAGTTACATATTCCGATAGATCTCGTCAAGCTCTATTCAATGAACATCTACTTTTGGTCTTTAAAGCTTGGCTAAAGTACGTTTAAATAAATAAAGAGCAAGTTATTTTCAAAATACTTGATCTCGGAATTTCATAGAGTCACAAGTTTTCAAACGTCGATTTGCCTTTCATCCGTTTTTCTCCGTCTTTTCAAGCAGAAGAGTCTTCTTTCATGTGTAGTGTGCGTTTAGTAGTGAAATTCACTTTCTTTCTGTAATAATTACGTATTTTAATTGCATTTAAATGCGTCCGTACAGTTCATGGTAGATAATGTTTCTTAGATGTAATGGCACTCTCCGCAGCCGAAAAAAATAAACGTTTACGAGAGAAACAGAAAGCTACTGGTCAACATGATTCAATCAAAAAGAAAGATCGTCAACGAAAAAAACTTGCTCATTCAAACCTTTCTCCCAAACATTTGGCTGAATTACGTTTAAAACAAAATGCTAATCTTCGTAAACTTTGCACAAAAAGTAAACAAACGCTGGTCTAAAACGATCTACGTTATCATCATTTCGTAATAAACAGGCGAAATCAAAAGCTTGCAAGAAATCACCATAGAAAACCCGCCTAATAAACAAAATTGTTTATTAGGCGGGTTTTCCGTGGTGATTTATATGTGATTTGCATGTGTGACTCAACAGAAAATTAAGAAACAATGTAATAAATGGTCTGTGAGGCTGAACCTTTACGTCTAGAGCGCGATAAAAATGACGCACAAATAAGATAAATTTTTTTTGAATAGGCTTAAATAAAAAAAAAGTGAAAATGTCGAGCCCACGACTATTTCTAAAATTTCTTCAAGTTGATCGATCTGTTTCCAAGAAACAAGTAGATATTCTAAAAGCTCATTTCAAACTCTACAACTTTTGTCTAGAACATTTTCCTGCAGCTACCTTAGTTTCATAGAAAAATGCAAAATTTTGTTATCCTATCGGTGACAATTTTCATTTTTTGAAATTCTGAGACGGAAGGTATTTTTTTTATAACTCTTAAATGACGTGTCCAAATGTAACGAAAGTTTTACCGGTGATAGAACGCGTGACTATCAACTTATGGTAAAAATTTCAAGTGCCTACAGCCTTATCAGGTCGAGCACGATGTTAATAAAGTCAAAAAAATGAAATTCCGAGACTTTTGGCCAAGCCGAGTACTAGGTCTTTCGCATATCTTAGACAGTTGATAATAGGTGTGCACCAGTTTCAGTTAACTGGAACTGTCAGGAACTATTGGAAAACAATTTCGAAATGAAGTCAAAAGAAATTTTTAATTTTCTATTGAAGAAAATGCAGGTAAAAATTCAAAAGTCTTTTAACCCTTTGTTTACAAGCGTCCCCAATTCAGGACACTTCTTTTTATTTTCTTGATTTCCGAATAACTCGCACAGTGGGCATTTAGGCGGCGTTTTCTGAAAAAATCGTAGGTGCGAATTTTTTTGTTTTGAATAGTGGTGTATATAGTATAAACAATTCCCTATTTAATGATAAAAAAATTTTTGTTCTAGCTC